TCTCTGTCAAGATCAGCCTCAGTGAATCCATAGAGAGCCAGGTCAAGATCCTCCGGGATCTCTCGCTGTTCCAGACCTAATGGATCCAACTTTGCTTTCATGTGACCATTCACCTGGTAAGCCCTCACAAGTAACAACAGCCTCATACTCTCCTGAATTGTCTGCCCAGAGATGCCAGGAGACGTGGCAGCCTGACCAACAAAGTTCCTAAAGAAATTATCCCAAGACTCATCTACACTGTTAGGATCAGATTCCCAAGCCCTTTGCAGCTCCTCAAGGTAGACACTGCTCGTCCCATCTAAGAAGCTATCAGTTAGCTTAGAAAGAGGTACAGCTCTAGGAACTGGAGCACTCTGAGCCTTTGGTCTGTAAATAGTTGAGTGAAAGGAACGATTTTGAGATGGAAGAGACCGTGTCCTTGTTGCATATGAACCACCCTGATTCAGAATCCTTCTAACAGCTAGCTTTGTAACACTCGAACCAGCTCGAAACCACACCATTTCACCAGATTCAAAAACAATGCTTTAACTTCAATACTTAACAATGACAATAACGCATTCAACAATCGTCGTTCTCCACTGAAAAACGAAACAAACACACACACGTTAATGGCCGCCTTCTGAAATGATGAATCAAAGAGATCTTTTTTTTTTCCAACATATTGTCGAATTCATATACTCAGAAATAAAACGAAGAATAAAGTGCGACATAAGATTCGACTCCATAATATAAATAACAAAACAGAAAAGTCTCAAACATAATATGGATCAAAAACAGTACGAAATCTACGAATCTGATGATGAAAATCAGATTCGAGAGAAAAAAGATAGATCTGTTCTTGGATTAAGAGAAAATGTTGGATTTAGAAAGCTTCATTATTTCCGATTGCAAAGGAACTGAATTCGAAAAGCTGACTTACTTACCTGGACCGGAGGCGAAGAAGAGAAGAACGGAGGAAGGAGGAGAGAAAGGGTTGCTTTTAAAGTTTTGCCCTTTTTTCTTTCTACAATGAAAACGCCATTATTGTTATGGAATATGGTTCTCTCTATTTATGTAAATATGAAAATATTGTCATATTGGCGTTCTCTATTTATGTAAATTAATATATACTTATGAACTATAAAGATTTTTCTGTGGAAGATTTGTCAAACACATACCATAGATTGAAAAACTTTAGAATGAAAGAAGAATGTTGTAATGATTTACTGAATATTTTTTCTCTGGATGAATTAACAAACAAGTCAACAATATGAATGAATAATCTTTGACTCTTTCCTCTATTTTTTCCAAACAAATATGAAATTAACATAGTTATAAAAAAATATAGCTTAAGATTTTTGCCCCTGCCTGCGTGAAACGCCGTTCCAAAAAAACTGTCTTTTTGTCCAAGTCCAGTTTTCTCGGCGGTCAAAGTTGCGTTATTGGTAAGCGATGAAACATGTATGCACACATGTTAAAATTTCATTGGACAAAATTATATCTATGTTGTTATAATAAACAATATTATATCGTACGACTAAGTTTTTTTTTGGTTTAAATCGCCCGTCTAAAAAAAAAAAAAAATCGCCCGTCTATACACAAATTACTCTTGACATTTACTCAATCGAACCGGTTTAGTTCATAGCCTCCCCTACCGAAAAAACCGAACCATGACCTAAACTGCGCTTCCAAATTGACAGTCCACTTCCATCTCCTTCCTCTGCTTCTCCGGCGAAGGTCTTTCATCAATGGCGGCCAGGTTGAACACTCCGCTTCATAACGCCCTCTCTCTGTTAAACCCGTTCAATACTCCCCTCAGCACAAAACCATTCTCTTCCAGAAACAGTTTCAGATATTCCAAAAAGCTCGCTTCTTCCCAATCTTCCTCCGGGAAGAGAGCCCTCTACTGCACTTCAAGCCTCGGAATTCATGAAAATGGCGTCGATGGAGCCGAAAAATTCGTCCTCACCACTCCGCTTTATTACGTAAATGCCCCTCCCCACATGGGCAGTGCTTACACCACTATCGCCGCCGATTCAATTGCTCGTTTCCAGGTGTGTTTCTCATTCAGTCTCTTACATAAAGTTTCAATTTTTCTAGAAATCAAAGGGTTAATTTTTGTGGTTGTTGTTAATTATGTAGAGGCTGCTTGGCAAGAAGGTTATCTTTATCACAGGTACAGATGAACATGGTGAGAAGATAGCTACATCAGCAGCTGCTAATGGACGTAACCCTGCTGAGCATTGTGATCTCATTTCTCAATCATATAGAACTCTTTGGAAAGAACTCGATATAGCTTATGACAAGTTCATCAGAACTACTGATCCTAAGCATGAAGCAATTGTAAAAGAGTTTTACGCTCGAGTTTACGCAAACGGTGATATATACAGAGCTGACTATGAAGGACTTTACTGTGTTAACTGCGAGGAATACAAGGTCTGTGTCTCTCAATGAGGAGAAAGGTTTTTACTTTCTGGTCTGTGGCACAAGTTGATAAGTTTTTGTTTGTTTCGAATTCTGCAGGATGAGAAAGAGCTGCTTGAGAACAATTGTTGCCCTGTCCATCAAATGCCATGTGTTGCAAGGAAAGAAGATAACTACTTCTTTGCTCTATCGAAATATCAGAAACCACTTGAAGAAATTTTGTCCCAGAATCCTCGTTTTGTGCAGCCTTCTTATCGTCTAAATGAGGTGAGACGCAATCTTCGATTTCTCTTCCTTGTAGCATTCAAGTAGTGCTTGTGGACCTATGGTGATATAGATTATTCAGAATAACACAGAGATTTGTTGAGTATAATAAGCTCATTCTATTTTAGTCCTTTTTCTAATAGGCTCTTTTATAGGTGCAAAGTTGGATAAAGAGTGGCTTAAGAGATTTTTCCATTTCTCGAGCATTAGTAGATTGGGGAATTCCTGTTCCTGATGACGAGAAACAAACTATATATGTCTGGTTTGACGCTCTACTGGGGTATATTTCTTTTCACTTTTTCTCGATAGTTATATAATGGTTACACTGATGTAACATTATAACTTATATCTGTTATAATCTTTTGGTTATGTCTTTTCATATAAAGAGAAGATCGTTTCCCTTAGTTTATTAAGTAGTAAATTACAAATTTTTGTATCGTATTGTGAGATTAATATTTTTATTTCATTACAGTTACATATCAGCTCTAACAGAGGACAATGAGCAGCAAAGCCTAGAAACTGCCGTCTCATTAGGCTGGCCTGCTTCATTGCATTTGATCGGGAAGGTAAAGCTTAGACTCATTATCTACTTGGGATAGTAATCTGAATCACCTTCAAATTCTGTTTAAAGCTTATATCTTTTCTGGATGGCGGCAAGAAATACATCCTTCTTTACACATCTGTTCCCAGGTTCCTGATTGTAAATTTGTCTATTTGATCATACCAGGATATTCTACGATTCCATGCCGTCTATTGGCCTGCCATGCTAATGTCTGCTGGTCTGAACCTTCCAAAGGCGGTGTTTGGCCATGGTTTTCTGACAAAGGTACTGTTTTTTTTTTTAAAAGTTAAATCAAAGAGTTCATGCTTACATGTGAGGGATATTGGATTTGTATTTTCTGATATAGGATGGAATGAAGATGGGAAAATCGTTGGGGAATACTTTAGAACCATTTGAGTTGGTTCAGAAATTTGGGCCAGACGCTGTGAGGTACTTTTTCCTTAGGGAAGTGGAATTTGGAAACGATGGGGACTATTCAGAAGACCGCTTTATAAAAATTGTCAATGCACATCTCGCCAACACGATAGGTTTCTTTAACTTCTAAAAACTAAAAAAATTGAGTCGTTTAGCCTTTTGGTGATATAGTATGGAACTGATTTCTAAAAAATGCTTAATGCATTAGGAAATCTACTTAACAGAACTCTTGGCCTTCTTAAGAAGAACTGTGAGTCCACTTTAGTAGTAGATTCTACAATTGCAGCAGAAGGAATTCCTTTGAAAGACACGGTGGAGAAGCTGGTAAAGTTCCAATGACATTTCTTATCTTTCTAATTGCTTCATTAAGTCACAAATTGTTATCATTCTCACTCTCTCTTAAAAGGTTGAAAAAGCTCGGACAAACTATGAAAATTTGTCATTATCATCGGCGTGTGAGGCTGTTTTGGAGATTGGAAACGCGGGAAATTCCTACATGGATCAACGAGCACCTTGGTTACTTTTCAAACAAGGTGGTGTCTCAGCTGAAGCTGCAGCCAAGGTCTTTACTTTTTTCCCTCATTACTTTGTTTTTTTTTTTCATACAAAACAAAGGATTTGTTAGCAAATTTGATGGTTAGTGAAGGTTTTCTGCCTATGATTACAGGATCTGGTGATTATACTGGAAGTAATGAGAATTATAGCGGTTGCGTTATCCCCTGTTGCGCCTTGCTTAAGCCTGAGGATATATTCACAGCTTGGCTATTCAGTGGATCAGTTCAAAAGCATAACATGGGTAACAAACGATTTTATTTACCACTGGATTTTCCATTTCACAAAAATTTCATGAACTCTTGATTTGAATTAACGGTTTTTCTTTTTCTTTAGAATGATACCAAGTGGGGAGGGCTAAATGGCGGACAAGTAATGGCGCAAGCGAGTCCCGTTTTTGCAAGGATCGAGCTTAATCCAGAGAAAAATGAAGAGGAGAAGAAGCCAAAGGATAGTAAGAAAACCGGAAAATCTAAGGTCAAAGTAGAGCAACCTCAGACTCTCGCAGAAGCTTAAGTCAAGACCTCAAAATCAAGATAAATTTATTATATTTCTTTGATCTATTCCTTTCTATGTTTTTTCTTCAGCTTCATCCATTTCCAAGATACTGTAAATTTCATGGTTTTCTTTGTAACTTGAAATCATACCAGAGTCTCATATTTGGTGTGAAATCTAAGAAAGATAATGTCAAAGTAGAGTTAAGACCTCTCATGGTTCAGTTCATTCAAAGTTACATATACTGTAAATTGAGACACCATAGTAGTTACTTCTTTAGTTGTGTGGTTCAATAAAAAGTTTATCTTCTTTTGATTGTAACCTTTATATATATGGTAAAGTTTTAATAACATATCAACTCCACAAACAAATGTAAGAGAAACTGACTCACTCTGTTTTTCTACTGTTAAGAAGCACTAAAGGTGAAAACGAGAGCCTGTAATGAGGAAACATGCAACTCGAAAACCAGAGAAGCAGGAAGAGAAAGCGAGGAATAGAAAAGCAGCAAAGCCTAAGCCAATGGCTACATCTGACTGCAAGCAGAAGGCTTTGTTAGCCGTACACGTGTCCCCTCCCCTCATCGTTCTAGCTAGTGCTGCTGCAGCTGATCCTGCCGATAGCAACAGGTAAGAGAACACCTGCCCGATTCCAAATTTGAAAGTTATTATTACACAAACATACATACACAATCGTTATTGCAAAATGTTTATTGTTGCTCCTCACTTTCAACTCAATTTCTTCTCCTTTTTATTTTCTTTTATAACCAAAACAAGTGTGCTCAAGGGGAACTGAGGTGGTTAAATTATTTAATTGCGGTTATTTCAAAATTAAAAGTTAACAATAAAATAAATTAACTCAATTAGAAAAACTGGAAGCAAATGATTGAAACATGTTTGATTAAGCCTAAAACAGAAGTTTAGTTAACCACCTGGTCATGTCCAAAATCGAACCAGACTTGAAAAGCTTCAGGCCATAAGGTGGTTTCTCTGGAAAATTCCCAAACGCAAGTTCCCATTTCGAACAGCGAATATAACGCCACGATCACGTTTGCGACGAACACGAATCTACAACCAAAAATTGAAAAAAAAAAGGCAATTTCTGATTTCAATTACGGAATTCCAAATTCGCTCATAAAATTTTGATTTTTTTCGAAATTAAGCAGCGAAGAAGGAGAAATCGAACCTGAAAGCGTCGAAATCATACCAGTGAGGTGAACCGGAGCCGCGAGAATTGGTGAGCATGAAGACGGCGGAGGCGAGGGAGAAGGAGAAAGAGGCGAGGCGGAGGAGGAGGATCAGGGAGTTGAAGCGACGGAGTTTCTGAGCAGCGACGGTGGAGTGGAAATGAGTGTGGTCCCGTGAGGTCGGAGATTCGCCATTACGGAAGGCATGCGGCGAGCGCATGGCGGAGGAGAAGATCAGAGAAGATGAACTGTGGTTAACTGTGATGGAGAAGAAGAGAGACGCAGACTCATGAGAAGTGCGGCGGTTTTAAAGTGCTTTGGTTAAGAGTCACGAGGCATTAGGGAGAGAGAGAGAGAGTGTGTGTGAGAGAGATAACAAAGAAGAATGAGAGGGAAAGTGATGCAAAAAGAGAGAAATAAGAGAGAGAGAGTTTGAGAACCGGTCGGTTTAATGTTCTTGGTTCGGTTAGTTGCAATGGCTTACCGGTAGGTGGATACCAGGAAATGTGTTTCTTAAAAAAAAATTAAAAAACTCAAAAGCAAAAAGAAAGAAACAACAAGATTTGTCTTACGGATAGCTATATAATTGATTTGGGTAATACATTGAATTTCATATTTAGTGTACAATATGATGATGATGATGAAACGAAGAAAGCTTAAGAACTTTCATCCAAAAAAAAAAAAAAAACATGTGAAATGACATTGTTCTTTTTCATTGTTATTAATCTTGTTACTTGTAGAAAGGGATTGTTCAAAAGTTTTGTGATTGGTAAGAAAACCAAATCGTGGGACTATTCAACTACTTAACTTACCAGTCGAAGTCTATGTTAGAGAATCCACCAATGTGATCGTAGATTACCTGGTTTCAATTTTTTGTTTTACTCACCATTTCGTGTTTTTATGGTTATCAATCAGAATCAAGATTAAGAAATCGAATTTGCGTGATAGTAGATAATTTCATTTGGTTTAATTGGAGATATATACTCTAAAATATATTCATATAGGAGAAGTGGAGAACTGTATATGTATAATAAAGTGAACTTTGTCTGCGTTTATAAAGTCTTTCCTCTGTAAAAGTTTTTTCATCACTTTTAGAATTTCAATTATATTTTATTTTAAATAAAATAATAAACGTTGTAACGGTCCCAAATAATTAATGCAAATGAGCTTCTTTTTTTTTATTGTAGCGGTCAGAGCGATTCGACCAAACAGGTGAGGCCGAGAAAACCGCATTTTGGAAGATTTGAAAACCGGTTTTCACATTGCACTTGAGATTTCTGACTAATCAATCTAAAAAAAAAAACCATTTTGTATTATTATTTCTAAAAGAATGGATTAGGTACACAAAGGCAATAAATCCAAACTTTTTGTCTCTCTTTAAATGTTATGTAACAGAAACTGTTTGGGTATTTAAATGTCGGAGTCGTTAAAGAAAGTGCGAAAGTGACGTTCTAGCCATTCCTCCTTTTTATGAGAATTAACGATAAACCAAACCAAAATGTTCACAAGTTTTGGTTCCCTAAATTCATAAACTTCATAACGTAAAAAGCGTTCGTATATACACTTAGTGAAAATGTTCATATGGTAGAAAATAAGTAAAGAACCATAAAGTGCTGAAGAATCACTAATGTTCATATACTTCGTATGGTAATAAATGTTTCGTCATCGTATGACTCATGACTTAATCCTCTTTTCTTCTACACTATAATCCTTTTGATGTCCTTAGTACGTGCGAGTATTTTGCAACCCATCCAAAAACAGTCGAAACTCAAAACTTATAAAAAGACGGATTAAAAGAAAATTAAAAAGTGAATATGAAAACGAATCCATTAACGACGGTAAGAATATAATCCTAAAATGTGGACTGGATTTGATTCCACCACAATATTCTTAAAGACAAACCCAAAGAACAAAAAAGAAAGTTAAGTTAAACAAAAAAAAGCTTTTGAGCAGACAGAGCCTCATTCTGCTGCTTGAGGATTCTTCTTCTTAGCCTAGAATCGAAATTTCTATAACACAAAAACGCAGAAGAGATGTTCATAGCATCTCTTGCGATCTTCTTACACAGCGACTCACTTTCTTCCTAAACTCTGCTCTGTTGTCTCTCCATTCTTTTGCAGCTTCCACATTCGCCGGTGACTCATCGTTAGGACCCGAGAGCATCGATATGATACTCAACACAATGCTTTCTACCTACATCAGGCAGAACCCATTATCTTTCAAGCATGATTAATCAAGAGAGAACACTATAGCTGAGGAGTTTATAGAACAAAGCCATCAACAAAGTAGTTCATTTTCAATCGTATCCACTCGATCACTCTTACTAAAGAAGTCCAATCTAATGTCGCAACATTCTACAGAGTCGTCTCAGTTCCGAACTTATATATTCCAAAAAATACTTGAAAAGCAAGTGGCACAAATGCAATGTACAAGCTCAAAGTCAAACAAAAGCAGTCTCTTTCCGTGACCTTTTCACACACAAGGGAAAGCTATGTTGTATGTTATATAGAGTAAACCAAAGAAATTCAACCCTGTAAAATACTAAACACTGCTAACACATTACCAGTGCACTAAAGCTAAATTGGCAAAAAGAACGAATCACTAACCGTATGGATAGGGCTCCAACGTTCTGAGGCAAGCTCGTATCCATTAGGATCATCACCAGCAGGATGAAGGATAGATATACAAACTTTTCCATCAGAGTAAACTGCAGCCAAGGGTATAAATCATCAGAAGACTCAATCTTAGAGCTCGAGAGTAAATAGAGTTAAATTTCAGAATAAGCACTCACCATTAGGATGCCACATCTCCGAGGTGAACGTCACAGTTGGTGGACTAACTGGATAATCATTTGGAAACTGCATAATTGCATTGAAAAAACCACCTTCACTGCAATCAGGAAAAAACGTATATATTTCAATGCCAATACAGTTGGAATTTGGTACTATAACAATTCATCAAAACAACCAAAATCGAAGCTCACACGTCACACTATAGGAAAATAAGTTACTTAACCTCTGTCAAACAGGAACAGATTAGCACAATAGAATGAATAA